AATTATTTTGATTAGAAGTATGCCTGATATAATTTATTATTATTTTTTTGTTTTTTACTTTAGACTTGTGACTCATGCTTGATACATTCTTTTTAAATTGCTCAAATTGAAACTTTTGGACAATTTTTACCAATTAAGAGTTGAAATGCATTTATCAATTTATTTTCAAAAGAATATATTGAATCTCACAGAAAGAAATTTAAATATCTTCATGTTGGATTAGTTCAAATTACTGTTAAACCATTGTTTCGACTTGGTTTAGACATTTCTATTCTCTTAACTTTTAGAGATAAGTGACTTCTCAAATTTGAAAATTCATTATTATCTATTCTAGAGTCAAATCTAGAAAGTGGTCGTGTATATTTAAATTGTTATCCCAATTTTTCTATCAATCTAAATGATCGAACTATTCTTAATGCTCTAAATCTTCATATTCAAATGAAAAATATGGATTCTGATGATCATTTAGATGCTTTTGCTGTAATATAAAGAATATATTACAAGCTCATGAATACTCAGTTCAATATTGGTGCTCTTCATTCATCTCAAGACCTGATGGGAATGTCAAAATGATTTTTAAATGATCTTCTTCTAGGTTTCAAAGATATTACTCTTCTAGACATGAAAATAGACCTAGAACTTCTTTTCAATCAGCTAGATTTTCAACATCTTCTCTTTCAGGTGTTAATTTTATTCCCAACATTCGAAAACCTTGATATAAAGATAAAGAAGAGGAATCAGAACAACCTGATTCTCCAACTTTTCCCGATATGATCTCTCCTTCTCAAAATGAAAGACTTGATCACAAATGCAATGTTATTTCTTTTAGTATTAATAGAAGAAATGAATTAAAAACCAATCAGTCCAATCATATAAAAAATTTTAGAGAAAATTTTCGACAAACTTTTTCAAAAGAAGAAAGAGAATCTTTTTTTGGGAAAAATTTTATGAATTCCCCAAAGATTTAAGTTTTTTTTGAGTGGGCATATTTCAAAGTTTACAATAAAAAACTGACTTTAAAGAAAGAAAAAACCATTCAAAATACAAATACTCCAAAAAAGATTTAGAAAACCTCTTCCAGTGAATATATTCAATCATCCCATCCTCCTTTGCAAGAAATAGTAATTCCACATGAAAATACTGAAATTCTTGATTCTCCTCTTGAAAAGATATCCGAGGAAAGACTTGATGAATCTCAAGTTGTTGCTAAAGATATAAAAAATAGTCGATCTCTAAATAACTACACTAATGTAGTTTTTCAATCTCTGTGTTCTCAGCTCAACAAAATTGAATTAAATTTTGAAATTGACACATCATCTTCTTCAAAATCAATTAAGCCAATAGAGCCAGTTTTAATAAATAGGCATAAGGCTATTCCAAAAAATCCTTTTAAAACTAAGGTCGATGCTCTAAAAGAACTTACAACTCAGTTATCAAAACTATCATCATCTTCTACTTCAAAAAATGACATATCAATTCTATTGATGATCTTGAATCTCAATTTATTAATGATGAAGTCCTTCATATTAATAAACTTTAAAGCAAAAATATTTAATTTTCAAAAGAATTTCTTTATTATCTAAAAAATACTCCTCTTGATTTACTTTGTGAAGAAAAGTTCAAAATAACTACAACATTTTTTAGCAATGGTATAACTATTTGGAATATTAGCGGTTTAGCTGAATATCAAAATTTTCGAACTCTTGAAAGAATGGGTGGATGCTTTAATGCCTATATTCAAGAAAATCATTTTGCTATTGAAGCAACAAATAATATTATTCAAGGTTTTGGTGGAAAAATTAATAATTGGTGGTTTAATTATATTACTGCACAAGAAAAAATTTAAATTGGGGAAGCTATGAAACACGATGGTTCAAATGATGGTTTTAGTACTTTAATTTATGTTTTAGAAAAATATGTCAAATATTTTAATGACTTTAAATTGTTAAAGTTTACAGGATTTTCGTTGATACAAAAATATGTTTTTAACACGTGTATTTTTACAAAAAGATTGTAATCAAGCTTACTGGAAAGAAAAAATTTTATTCGGACATCTAAAATTATTTTCAAAAAGAGTTAAAAATTCATTAAAAATGGAATATGAGAATAATATTCTTACACGTGGAGAGTTTATTAGTTTCATTAATAGAGCATGATTAGCTCTTTGTAATGAAATTGAACTTAAGTCTAAATTGCAATAAGAAAGATTAGATAGTAGAAGAGAACTAGGATCTTTTTGTGAACAATATGGACTTGAGAAAATAATTTCTCCTTCAAAATTAAAAAGAAAATTTTATTTGAAAGGAAAGAATATTCAAAAACCTTCTTATTTAAAAAAAAATTCTAAAAGAAAATTTCAAAAAAAATTAATTTTACTTGTTGGAAATGTAGAAAATCAAGGCATTATTCTAATAAGTGTCCTCTCAGAAGCAAAATTAATAATCTTCAAATTGATTCAGATTAAACTTGAACTCCTCAATCTTATTGATTCAGATTCTAGTTCTAATGAAGAAAATATTTCTGAATTAGAACATATTTATTAACATCAAGAAGATTCTGATATTGAATCTAGTTCAAATTCCTCTTCTTCTTTCAATCAAAGTAAAGAATTTCGTGGTTGTAAAACTATAAATATTCTTACCAAACAAGAAGAACTTACTAAAAAGATTTAGATCAAATTGAAGATCCACAGCTAAAAAATAAGTGTACACACACACACACACAGACACGTGTG